CCCCGCCCGCCACCCCCACCGCCGGGAGCGGGAACGGTGCGGGCGGCGGCGGCGTGAGCTGCGCCCCGGTTGCGGGAGCCGGCCGGCTGCTGCAGCCCATCCGCGCCACGGTGCCCTACCAGCTCCTGCGGGGCAGCCAGCACAGTCCCACGCGCCCGCCCGCCGCCGCCGCCTCGCTGGGCAGCCTCCCGGGGCCCGGTGCGGCCCGCGGCCCCAGCCCGCCTAGCCCGACGCCGCCGCCGACCTCAGCCCCGACCGAACAGGCGCCGCGGGCCAAGGGCCGCCCGAGACGGTCCCCAGAGAGCCACCGGAGGAGCAACTCACCTGAGCGACGGAGCCCCGGCTCGCCCGTGTGCAGAGGTAGCGAGCCCAACCCTTCTGTCCTCCCGGGCTGCGTCTCCCCGACGGTGCCCTCCGTGGAAACTTCAGCCTCTCCGGGCTTCTCTTTGCTAGTGCATTATCGAAGGTGTGAAAGTGGCTTTGGGAACCTCACCCCCCTGCGGTCGCTGCGGGGCTTGGATGAGCAAACTGCGGAGCAACTTTTATTTGACCCTCCTGCCGCCCCTCAGCTTTTATCTTCCATCACTCGCCTGTATCGAAAGGTTTTTCAGTTTAAGAGCTGATTAGCTCACTCATGTGTTTGCTGTTTGTAGTGGGGGAAGGAGGAGCTGGGCGAAACACTTAAAAAAACACGCATACAAACTCTCCGGCAGCAGATAAGGTGGTGGTTGTAATCTCTACAGCCTCTTTGTGCTTTCCTACAAAGTTCCTATAATGTGTCTGTGCCTACCGGTATAATTTTTTTTTCTTTTTTGGGGGTGGGGAGGTGGAGGCACCAGTTATGATGTAAGGATATCCTGTTGGGTGTGTAGAGGGGACAGTTTTGGATGTGCAATTGAAGTGTATAGTGTTTGGTTTGGCTTTTTTTTTTTTTGGGCTCCTTCTTTTCTCTACTTTATATAGTCATATGCATCAGGGCGGTACTGCACTGGAAACAGTTTATGCCCAACTCAAGACTTTCATGGTAAATTTCTAAGGACCTATTTGTGGAGCGTGCTCACTTTTTTCCTTCTATTTTTAAATACACTTAACAGTTCAGTTGAGCTGTTAAAGGATCTCAAGTTTCGTTTTTCTTAGGTGTCAAAGGTAATGGTGAACTGGTGGATGCTGTCGGCTTCCCTTAATGTTTTGTGTTTTGGGGTGGTTTGGTTTATGTTTAGGGACACGGTGAATGATCTAGTTTAGTCCTGGGGGAGAAAAGGAAGTTTAGCCAAAACAAGGATGTAAAACTCATAAGGGAGGGAGGAGTAGCTCATGTTATTAGATACCACGCTAGGGCTACAGATGCTGCTGCTGCATAGTGGAGAGAACGGATCATACCGAGGGGAAAAATCTCTGCTTGGAAGGGAATCACTGTGGAGCCTGTGCAATGTTTATGTGGTATGTGTAATTTTTTTAATGGAGTTTTCTTGATGAAGGTCTTAGACTTGGAGAAAGTGATTGTGTTAAGATAGATTGCAGTTTTGGTGTTTTGTTTTAATATTTCTGACCTGTAATTAGCATGTTGCTGAGGCCCTTGTTTTCAGACCACTTGATGGTGAGGCAGGGTAGGATGTAGTGCAGTGGTATGTGTACAGGAGCACCGAGAAATACATCCTGTAATCAGTATGCACCAGAAGGAATTTGCTCCCCCACTCCTCCCCCAGGTCAAGCCAGCTACAGAAACTGACATCCTCCAGCAAATCCTGAATGAATGAATGAAAACAACGTGATCGCCCTAATAATGACCACTGAACACACATCTTTGGCTGTATTTTATAGAAAAGGCCACCATTTTCTAACAGATTAATGCCATATGCAACTCCTTTGCACATTTTCTAGAACTGTATGAAATGAGAGGTAACAGAATGAAAAGGCAGCGGTTACATAAATTTTTGAGTGATTTAGTTTCAACAGTACATAGATTGAGTTTTGGGATTTTCTTTTAGGGACTAATGTAAGAGCCATAAAATAAGCACTGCAGAAAGACCGTGTTCAGAGGGTTTTGTGGGCATAGTGAGTAGTTTCAGCAATTGCTGCAACAATATATTGGTCATCTAGTACCTCCTCCCCTTTTGTTGATAAACACATCTTACAACAGATCATAGTACAACTTGTTTTTCTGCATCCTTCAAAAGTCTTAATTGCTTAGGAATTACAAGGTCCATCAAGTAGTTTTAATGAAATTTGTGACCAGGCTTAAACTGTCCTCTTTGTTGTATGTAGTATGTCACATCTGAGTTTAATGCAATTTTAACGCAATCATGATGAAAACACTTCTCTGAGTCTGGTTGTTCAGGAGACAGATTTGCATCAGAGAGCTTGTATTGGGAACAGAAGAGGCCTTTCTGCTGTTTTTAACACCAGGTGGTTTTGTCAGTTTTTTACATTGAAATGATTTTGAATGTAGGTTCTTCTGCCCCCAGTTCCCTGATGATATTACCTTTCTGTTACTTCTCTACATCCCGCCTTGCTCCTCTCTACCTAAGTTAAAACTATACAACTAATCTATTCTTTTTACTTATCTATTTAAAATTCATGCTATGAACAGTTGAACAATTTTTCAAACAATTATCTACTCAGTTTCTTTTGAATTCTGCAAGGTTCTGACTTCAGTGGATTGTAGCCTCCACAGGTCAAGGCTCCTGCCGCTGCTGCTGCTGCAGACACTGACATCACTATACTGCATGAATGAAAAACAACGTGCTCCATTTCTTGCTCTCCACCTCCTTCCTTTTCTGCACACTCCGTTTGTGTGTGTGTGTGTGTGTGTGTGTGTGTGTGTTTAAGATGGTATTACGCTGTATTTGAAAGTACATTTAAAACTGTTAAATTAGGTAGGTGGTGGCTCAGGGATATGTGTTTAGTATAGAAGCATATTGCTTACAAAAAGCTTCAAGTGCTATGAGCATTTGGACTAGAGGTGACATAACAGCATTCAGTATTTTTTTTATCTGGACTGGTGGTTATGGAAGAAAATACAGAAGATGTAAACAATTTTCTTTGTAATTGTTTTACCAAGAAGAAGTTATGAGACAACATAATTTCTTAACATGTTAGATCATTATCTCCCTCTGAAACATTCTTAATATGCACATTTATAGGGTTAAGTCTAGAATAATAAAGAAATGATACTCAGATTATTTCACAAGGCTGAGGAAAAGCTGAATTATGTAAATAGGCACAATTTTAATATGATATTTATAAAATCTAGCAAGAAGATGGTAATTTTATTTTTGTAGCACAGTTTTAGATAATTTCAGTGGGTATCATAATAGAAGATACATAAATCTCCAAACACCTTGCTCTGTATAGAGGACATAGAGTTTTAAAAATTGAAATTATCTTGTTTATGCATATGATCATATTTTTGTTTGCATTTTAAAATTTTTCTTTTGTATTTTTAAAACTTCAAAGTTTGTTATTTATATTCATTTCTTCTGCCTTTAGCAAAATGTCACCCTCCTCCTTGTTTAGTTCTGAAGGGTCTTGAAGTGGTGAATGACAAGCTACTGAATGCATCCTCAGGCTCCCCGTGATGTGTTTGTAATAGATGTAAAATCATAAAGTATTATGCAAATAGTTATTTTTTTGTAATGGTAATACATAAGTCTACCTTTGAGATAAACAGAACAACACAAATGAGAATATAGCAGGATGTTAGTGTTAAAATTAATGATCTTTAAGCTAAAATCATGAGTAACAATGAAAATATAATAAAGTTGCTTCTTTCTGAAAACTTCATAAAGCAAAACCTATGAATTCAAAAACAGAACAAATACAATTTTATTGTGCAAGACAGTAAATAGCAATTGCAGGTCTTTTTGTGTTTTTTTGTAAGGATTGAGCACTGAGATGAAATATAAATTCTAAAAGATATAAAAACAGTTGCGTTAGAGCACTCGATGTAGAATACCACTTATTTTTAAGTGTACCAAACCTAATAACAAAAACATGGAAGAGCTTGTAATTTATATAGTTCCTGCTGTGGAAAATAGCATGTGTTGATTCCTGATTTAACATGCCTAATATCATTAACTCTAGAGTGAAATTTGGTAAGAATTTTTCATGAGTACCTTGAGAGCCTTATTTTATACATTGAGAAGTTATGATTATATTTTAAAAGAAAATACAAAGCCAGTTAGCATATAATGCTGAATGACTGCCTGCATTGTGTGTGCATGTATGTGTGTGTGTCTGTGTTTTGATCAATTAATTTGCTTTCAGTTTTTTATTTTTCATTAAATTTTCCCTCTTGAGTCATTTTTACTGCTATGCTCAGTTTGTGGACTTCCAACATTTTTAATTACTTTTTTTCTCTCTCTTTTTAAAGATACTCAGACATTCTCTTATAAAGTTACTTCTCAGGCCGATATTGTTGAAAATTAAGGTCCTCCGTTTGTCCCCCCCACTTTTAAAAATAGTTTTCCTTGAGTGCTTAGAGCTAACTTGCTTCAAAGCTTTCTTATACTAGACTGAAAACAGTTAAAGCTTTGACTGTTTTTCCTAAAGAGACAGGTTTCAGATACTGATTTTTGGGAAAGGTTTTCAGCCTTTGAGAACTACACTGAGTATCAGCAGCGTTCATTAACTAATTTTTTCCCATTAATTATGGTACGTAAAATTTCTACGTCAGTGGGTTAATAGCAAAATAGATAAGTGAATTTATAGAAGTTTTTTATTCTTAAACTGTTTTATGTTCAAAGATTATATTCCTTTAGAATAACTATTATTCTAAGCATATTGAATATTGTATACCTAGGGTGTATAAAAGCACCTTGGTCAGTTTAGCTGTATGTAAAGTCGTGTATATATATTGAACTAAAAATTCTTTCATTATTTACAGTACTTTTTACAGAAGGACATTTCATTCACTGCAGCGTATGTTGCTTCAAGGATTTAATGCAAATTAGGATTTATACATTGGGGAAGTGTTGAAGGGTAATGGTATCCTTGTGATTTTTATTTGTGATAATGTGGACTAAATGTGAATAAGAAAACAAAGGAGTAATTGGGCTCCATGGCAATGAATAACAATGGAAATAAACGGCAGTGTTCAACAAATGGCGAGTAGGAGAGGATTTTTCTTAAATCTGAAATTTAAAACATTGCTAAAAGCCTGTTTTATCAAAGCTTCCACATACAGCTAATAATCTGCCAAGAAGTATATACTAATGACTTTGTTATTCTTAATTTTAGTTTAGTCTTTTCTCCAGAGTTTAAATCCCCAGACACCACCACCATAGGCTTTTTCACAGCACCTGTCCTGGGTCTGTGCCTGGCACTGTTGTCTTTTGTCTTCAATATATAATTTTGTTCTC